GACTTTGTAATCTGAAATGATTTTATTTGGAGAGATTTAAATTCAGGATTTAATTAGTGGTAAGAAAAGGTGACTGGCAACGGGAGTGGTTGGCAGTGATAATGGTAGCGAGTGACGAAGAATGATCAATACTTGAGAGAGATATCAAACCCCCATATTGATATCTCCCAAATTCGGGAGATACTGAGACCATCAATTTTAAAGATTTATGATATCTACAGATATTAAATTTGATAACTCTTTTAGCTTCACCAAACACCGGAAAAGGATAAGGATATCTAGAGATATCAAAATTCAAAACTCATATTTTTTTTGCATACCAAACACACTTTTAGAAGTTTTTTAATAATTGAATAGAAAATTATACATAATTAGAAAACAATTATTATAAAAATGAGTATCTATATTCTCTTCCATAATTAATTGTACCGAAGGACTTCATACAATAGTATTAACTTCTATAGACCACATAAGCTTGTCTTTTGGCGACTTTCTAGCAAACGGAGTCTCAAATATTATATTAAAGGATTATATTTTTTATAACTAAAAAGAAATTTTTATACAATCCTTTTTTAATTATGAAACATTATAAAAGTTTAAGTGAGATTGTAACAAAAAGCACCCTAGTTTGGATGGTTAGGAACTCAACTAAATGACCAAGAGATCCTTGTTTCAAACCCCATGGTGGTATGCTTTTGGAAAAAAATTGAAAAAAAAGAACTGGTATAACCGGTCAAACCGATCGATTTGTCTAAAAGGGTGACATATCAGCTCGCCACATGTCGAGCTTTAACTTTGCCAAATGTCGTCACATTAGCTCGCCACATGTTGTGCTTTAGCTCTGCCAAATGTCACGTTCTTATAGCTCCGACTTTGCTTTATATATAAAGGATTGATGTGAGGAGTTCTCATTTCTTAAAAAATTTAAAAAAGTACAACAATAACATGTTTTTGTTCACGTATATAGATGGATATATTGATAGATCTCACCACAACACTCGAGAAGCTCCGCAATTTACTTGTAGTGGCCCGATTCATCAACACATAACATCCTTATTGCCACAAGATGGTGGAAAACCAAGATTTACTCAATTTTATATTTAGATACACAGAACAAGCTAAGATATCAAGCCAAATGACTCATTTCAGGTATTTTGATCATTTTATTAAGTGCACACTTTTAATACATGTATTGTTTACCTATGTTTGACAACATAATTATCATAGTAATATAAACAAAATTTTATCTTGGTTTCATACAGTGGAGAGAATAATTCTTTGGCCACTGACAGAAATTTAGTCCTAAATTTGAAAATTATGATAAATGAGTATAATATTTTAGCGTAATGTTTTAGAAGAGCTAAATACTTCATGGATAATGAGCCCACTTCTAATGTGTCAATGAAGCTGTTGAGAAGTAGAACTAGAGACTCGTGAAATTATAATATCTCTACAGTAGACGAAATTGCTGCTTTAATAGGTAGATATTTTGATTCATCTAATGAAAAAGGGAAATCATCATCGTACAAAGAAATTATTTCTTACAAAAATTCTATGAGAAACACCTTGCTTTCATATATCTTAGTACCCTATATTTTTTCCTTTACGGAGGATGGTATCAAAAAAAATCTCTATAAGAGAATCATTTTTTGAGCAAAAAATGTAAAAAATCTCTATAAGAGAATCATTTTTTGAGCAAAAAATGTAAAACTTCTGAAAATCTCAGTGAGTGGATTTGTTGCATTCCAAATACAAGAAAGAGAAAATGATGATGAAATTTTGTTGCCTGCACAGAGATTGTATTTACAGTTTTTGACTGATGGATGCACGATGGTTGAAGCACAGAAAATTCAGTGGGTGCGGTTTAACCAGGATCAAGTGAGGGGAGCAATTATGAGTGGCATATAAGAAGTTGAGATCATAGGTGATGCCGAATCGGCAGTCATTGGCCAACGAACTATTCTACCATCTACATTCAATTGGGGAATGAGATATATATTTAGGTGTCAAGATGTTATGGCAATTTATAGAAGACTTGATTTTCTAGATTTGTTCATTACTGTGATATGTATTTCCCAATGGAGAGAGATTGCAAGATATATGACAATAAGAAAATATAGAGCTGATTGAAGACATACTTGATATTGAATCTATGATCTTTAGTTAAAATGAAATTGGATCAATTGGAGAAGAACTTAAAAAAAGGATGTATATTTTATAAAGTAATTGGAGGTAATGTTAAAGTTTGCTACTCCGTATTTTATTTCCATTTATATATATATGATAAAATTGTTGTAGTTTAAAATCAGAATTAATATTTAATGTAGGTTTGTACATTGTTGAGTTTCAAAAGAAAGTTTTTCTCATGCACACATCATAATATGGTTACATGAGTCGGATAAACTTCAAACACCCGAGTCAATTGATCGTGTGATAACGAGATTGAAATGCTTAGCGAGGCGTCGAGCACATGAGGTAGGATACGAGATCGATATGCAAAACTATATGGACACAACCACGATGCCACGGGGGGAAGTGGTAGTTCCGACAAATAATTACTTAGTATTATTTTTTATTTTCTTAAATTGTAATTAGTTTTTTTAGGTGAGTGATTATGAATCTTTAACTCATAGCTTTTTTTTGAACCGTCAGGAAGATAAATTCAATGTAGTTGATACTTAATTATATACTATCCAACTCTCATTATTAAAATAACAACATCAGATAAACTTTTTTTAGCATATATCATACTCCCTCCGTTCTCAAAAATACTTCATCTTTCATTTTCTTCCACTTCCAACAAAACACTTCCTTTTTCTATTAAAAACCACTTTTACTCTTACTTTTTCATACCCTACCTATCACATCATACTTTTTCTCTAATTATCTATCCATCACATCTTACTTTTATCCATCACATCAAGGACAAAATTGGAAATCAATTATAATTTAACACTTCCTTATTTTTGTCCTAAATCAAAATGGGAAGGGTTTTTCCAAACGGAGGGAGTATTTAAATAAAAAAGACTTGATACCGAACCGGAACCGGAACTGTCAGTTCTCTGGAACCATAACGTGTCCAAGACGTACTAGTTTTGATGCATTCATGAAAAAAATATGTGCCCTAAATAGCACTAAAACTTAAGTCATTTCTCTAAATAGCACTTGAATTGTTTTATTCCCTAAATAGCACTTAATAATGTCCATAATGTCAAGTAATGACGAATATTTACTTGAATAATGACTAATGCATAATGACTAAAAGTGCTACATTGGAAAGAAAAATACATGTGATGCTATTTAGGAAAAGTCATTATGTTTTAGTGCTATTTAAGTAAATTCCTCTTCACGAAATTCGGAGTTTTAACATAAAAAAAAGTCTAAAAGAGTTGATCACCAATGTCAATATTTCTCTACATATTTATCTTCATTCTTCATATAGTGTGATTACTATATCTCGTTAATATTAAAATCCATTCACTAGAATATGCCTCACAACTCTCGATCTTGTTTTTTGGATTATTTATAATAAATCACTATCTTAATAACAGCCTCTTTAATTTTTCTTTTATTCATACCTATAATCATATCACATTAATGAAGAGACCAATATTCCCTCCATCTATATTGATTTTTTTAGCATTTGACTTCGAGTAATAACTTTTGGACCGTTTGGTAGTCCATGGATGTTTGTTCAAGTGGTTGCATGAACCATGGGAGAACTCATGGGAGAGTGATGAGGAGAAGACGTCAAATAATCATCCAATCCCCGAAACGACAAATTGATCTCCAAACTCCTCCTGCACTTCTTCTTCTTCGTCTTCGTCTTCGCGGCTTCGGCCTCCTCCCCGCCCTGTCTCTGACCCACAAACTTCCAAATCCTCGCCAGCGCCACCGCCATTGTCTCCTCGTCCATGTTGGCGAAGCACACTCTGAACCAACCCGGTTCGGAGCAATGGAACGAGCCCCCGGGGGACACGTTCAGCTTCACCTCATCAATGATCACCCTCCAGAGCTCCGACTCCGCCTCGAACGTCGCCTCCCGGAGAAGCCTCCTCAAGTCCATCCACACGAACAACCCGGCGTTGCCATGCAACGTCCCGATCTCGAACCGGGCCAGCCCTCGGGTGAAGTCCCGGTGCCTCGTCCCCAGCCTCTCTGAGCTCTCGCGTAGGAACCGCCCCACGAACGCCTCGTCGGACAACACAGACGCGACAAGGTGTTGCGTCTGGGTCGACACCAGCGCGAAGCTCGACATCCTCCGCGCGCAGCTGACGACAGCCGCGCTGTAGGAGTAGACGACCCCTACCCGGAACCCAGGGAGGCCCAAGTCCTTGGAGAGACTATAGGCGATGTGGACCAGGTCGGGGTCGCATTCGACCTCTTCCATGACCTCCGCCACGGAGACGAACTCCGGGGCGGAGAAGACGGTGGCGGCATAGATTTCGTCGCAGACGAGGTGGATTTTCTTGTCGTTGGCAAAGCGGACGATGTCTTTCAGGGTGTCCCGGTCGAGGACGGTGCCGAGCGGGTTGGAGGGGTTGTTGATGAGCAGGCCCTTCACTCTGATGCTCTCGTCCATGGCCTTGGCATATGCTGATTCCAATGCTGATGAAGTGAGCTTGAAGTCATTTGAGCTGTCACATGGCACTGGGTAAAGTTCTACCCCTGTTCTCCATCTCAGATCTCTGTCATATCTGTACCAAAATCAAGAATGTCTCAAGAAATTAGGTGGTTTTATTTAATAAAATGCACGAACAATATGTTATCCATTAATATAATCTTAATTTTGTAATTAATAGATGAAATACTTTCAAAAACAAAAAAATAATTGATACCCAGGATAGTAGGGGGTTGGGACGAGGAATGCTTCCCCCGGATCCAACAAACAAAAGGCTAGTATTTCATGGGCTCCGGTTGCACCTCCGCTCATCACGATCCGGTCCGGGTCGAACCGCACTCTGTCTCCCCTCACTCTCTCCATGAACCTTGCAACTGCCTGCATTTCATTAGGTTAGAATACAAGAAACATTCTATGCGCCAAAACTACAAGCTTTAGCTTTTGGTTGAGTTGATTCCTTGACAGATTAATTCAATTCACCTTATTATATAAAGCATACCAATTCACCGTTTTCGTGCATTGGATCATGTTACAGTCACATCAATTTTGATATTATGTATAAGTCACACACCAGTTATGATATTGTATGTTTTGGAGACAATTATTGTATATATGAATCGTAGAGATCGATAGTCATTATGAAACACATAATATCAAACTTTAGTATAGATGGTAATTATGAAACACAAATTACATTTACATATACCTTTCTAAATTGGAGCAATCCATGATAGTCTTGATATAGAGCAATATTCTTGAACTCATCTACTCCTTCCTCACTACAAATGGATGCTCTAGGGTTGTTCACCACCCACTCCTCAATCATATCAAAGCACAACTGCAATTTACAAAAAAAAGCCAACATAAATACATACCCACCTTAGCTTTTCCTGAGAAGATACATAGAACATAATTGAACCTCGTATGATTCGTGCATCGGCCTGGAGGTCGTCGAATTACCTGGTTTTCTGCTAAGCCCATTTGAATAACGCCGCGGGGGTTGTGCTTTGGATGGAAAGGGTCGGTATCGTAAGCCTTCCAGCCATCAAAATACGCCGAGTTTTCGCCGTGTCTACCGCTAGTAGCAATTTTAGACAGCACTCCCATATCTTCAGAATTATTATGGACAATTTATAAGAAATCAATTAAAGTGAAGTGAAGTCTTTTCTGCTCTTCTCTGTTGCAATCCAAGAAGCTAAGATTAACAATTAGAATGTTTGAGATCAATTAAATATGATATGGATTTGTCAAATTAAGGTGGCTGGCTATTTATACACAAGTTTATGGTCCCCTTATAATAAAGTTCGTCGTTCCTACTTGGTGTGTTTTCCTAGTACGTACGTACTATGTTGTGTTGTAATCCCGTGTGTTCCAAATTAAGTGACGCGCAAATAACGCCATCCATCGCAGTACTCTCTCTCGATCATGTGATTAGAATTGATTGCATGTGCATGTGGCAGCTAGCTAGTGTGAGATCGAGAGTACATGCCCATATTTTTATTTTAGTCATGTGTGTTGACCCTGTCTAGAAACTTTTGGGACTGTCCATATAACTCATCTTAACTCTGCATCACTAGTGTGTCATCTCTTAGAAAATCGGAATCGGTACTTGGAATCTCTGAAAGACGTGTATAGTAATCGCTTTTAGATTGAAATAATGTTTCGGTTCATATGAATCCTTCAATCGTATACAATTCAGAGATCGAATTTAAGAACGAAGTATGAGGAAGATGTAATGGTTCTCAACCGTGTCCTGATGGCCAAACTTGCGATAGGCTTCATAGACGCGGGAAAGGACGAAGAGTTGTCGTTCGCAATCCATATGCATATGATGACAACTTAACCAATAGTGGAATACCTATGGATCCAATGTATATATGTGCATGCATGCATGGTCCCCTACCCATACGTACGTCAAAGCTTTCCAGTTTCCACTGTATAATCCATTCCATCTTTGACATGTTATAATCCCGCGTTTATTCCGTTATGTAACTAGGCGCGTGTACGCGTAGCACCACATAATTCTGCATGCGTCTCTCTGATGGATCACCCCTTCGATCGTGGCTTCGTTCACGCATGCAATAATATCAAAGAATGGGGAAATAAATTAAAATAGGCAGAGATACTTCATTCCTCTCTCTTTTCCTACCAAAATTTATTTATAAAGTCTCTAAGGTGTCCAAAGCTTGCATACATACAAAATCACAAACCCTAACCCTTTCAGACTGTTTTCCATTTTTCCTTTTTTGGATGTATAAGTGGCATTGAGGGCCCTAAAAATATTGGCTCGGTTCATAATTTACATTTTGGACCCTATTTAATTTTTTTAGAAAGCTTATGCTTTAAAATCAATACCAAATTTAAAAATATGGAGCCAGATTTTAAATGATTTTCCATGTTTTCAAGGTAAATTGGAACATACATATCGTATATTTAGACCTGATCAAAGTGCGGGCCGGACCGGGTTTCGGGCCGGGCTGAGATACTATATTACGAGAATTTTCTAGGCCCGAGCCCAGCCCGTATAACGGGCCTAACAATTGAAGCCTGAGCCCGGCCCGGCCGACCAAAACTTCTAAATAATTTAAAAATAATTTTTTTAAAAAAAGTAACAAGTTAATATATTAGATATTTGATATAAAAATTAAACTATGATGAGTAAATGAAAGAAAAATTAATATATAAATGTATTTTGTTTGATATTGCTACTATGTATGGAGTATGAAATATTATTTATTGGAATAACATAATCAATGTGTGATATGTTGCAAACAATACGGAGTAGTAAAGATGTATTCATTTTATTATATATACTTATAATTTATTTTTTCTCTCCATAGAAGTATGTATGTGTGTGTATAATAATTTGAAATAGTTTTATTCTATGTTGTTATTATTATTATTATTAATGTTGTTATTGTTATTTTATTATGATTATATTAATAATAAATATTTTAATTTATTCTGGTCGGGCTAGCCCGTGGGCTTGAGCATAAACCCGATCCCGGTCCTAAAATATTCGGACCACCATTTATAAGGCCCAAGCCCGGCTCGTACCCTAAAATGTCAAGCCTAAGCCCGATATTTTGCGGGCGGGCCAGAGGGCCAAGCCCGTGATCGGGTCTACGTATATTATATTGTTTGTTTGATGCTACATGAGCTGAGTTATAATTATGAATAAATTTTAAATAGCTTCTAGTTTGGGCTGTTCTTGAGGTGTTTACCTCACTTAGGTAGTGAATGTAATTCTTTTTCTTTTTCCATCATTTTTTGCTACGTATTTCCCAAACTTGCTTTTCAATTTGGATGCATATATAACTACATTAAATCGTACACTTGGTGAACTATTAGGAAGTATAATTAAATTAGGATACTTCTTTCCTTTCCTACTAGGATTATTCTTTCCTTTCCTACTTGTACTTTGATTACTCTTGTATTCCCTATATATAGGGCCATATCTCTCAATATTCAATAAGACAAGTTATTATCAAATTGTATCATGGTATCAGAGCTAAAGCTCTCAAAAACCTAGCCTCTCTTTTTTTCCGACCGCCGCCCACCATGGCAGCCCCGTCGGATCCTTTGGCGTCCTTACCCTCCAGAGTAAAACTTTTGCTTCGGAGTCTCCACAACTTAATCCCAGAAAAACTCACTGAAACAAATTATCCGGCATGGTCTCTCAATGTCCAGACAGCTCTTTCAGCTAATCTCCTCCTTGGATGGATTGATGGTCATGAAGCAGCCCCGGCGCCAACTATCTCCAAAAATGATAAAACCGTCCCTAATCCAGAGTATACCTCCTGGACCATCGTTGACACACAAATCCGCGCCTGCCTCCTAGCGGTCATCAGCCCCTCCGTTCACAAACATGCTCGCGGCTTCACCACATTTGCTGCCCTCTGGGATGCTTTGGCCGCACGGTACAACTCCGTGTCCACCGCTCATGTTTATCAGCTTCGTGACAAACTCCACACTCTTCGTAAAGGTACCAAAACTATGACACAATACCTTGATGATGTGGCAACTATTCTCTCGGATCTCGATGCCTTGAAAGAAGAGATCCCTGAACGTGATGTGGTGAATGCTGTTATTCGTGGTCTTCCCACCGAATACTCATCCTTTAAGCAAAACATTCGCATGAACAATACCAATATTTCATTAAATCAGCTTTCTGGATGGCTGATCTCCGAAGAAATAAACCTGGAGATAGAGAATAAACTCAGCCTCACCGAGTCTACCATCACCGAACCTCGCACAGCACTTCTCGCTACGAACGGTCGAGGTCGCGGTAGAGGAGGCTACTGCGGTCGACCGTCACCTGAACGTGGATACAACAGCGGATGTGGAGAAAGGAACAACGGTCGACCGTCCCAGGGAAACGGTCGACCGTCACGGGATCTGCCAACCTGCCAAATCTGCGAGACACGAGGTCATTCGGCGTCTGCGTGCTGGTATCGATTTGATGATTCTTATACTGCGAACTCCTCCTCAGTGCTCCCCGTGCAATGCATGCATCTACGAGTAATCATTCTGGAAACTGGTATCTGGACACTGGTGCCATCACCCATGTCACGTCTGATTATTCTCAGCTACAATCTCCTCATCAATACACCGGTACTGATGCTATTACCTTAGGCAATGGTCAATCCCTACCCATCACACACTCTGGCTCAGGTTTTGTCCATACTCCTAATGGTAAATACCACCTTTCTACTCTTCATTATGTCCCTTCCCTTACCTCCAATCTATTGTCTGTCCATTGATTTACCAAAGATAACAACTGCACTCTTGTTTTCAATGCCAATGATTTCCAAATAGTGGACAATCCTACCAACCAGGTGCGGTACAAGGGCCTCTGTGAGCATGGGTTATACACACTTCCTTCCAAACTCCCAACCGTTGCGTATCAAGCTATCCAAGAGTCCACTTGGCATCGTAGACTCGGTCATCCAGCTCCTGCGATTGCCAAATCTATTTTGTCTTCCTTAGGTTTTCAGTTTTCAGAGCCTTTACATTGTGAATCATGTTATGTCTCTAAGTCCTGTCGTTTACCTTTTGAATTGTCTGAACATAAGGCCACAGCGCCCTTTCAATTAATACATTCTGATGTTTGGGGTCCCACCTCTGTTCCTTCCTGTAGCGGTTTTCGATTTTATATCTCTTTTGTTGATGATTTCAGCAAATTTACCTGGATTTATCCCCTAAAACATAAATCTGAAGCTTACTCTGTTTTTGTGAATTTTGAAAAAATGATTAAAACTCAGTTTAATTCTCACATCAAAATTTTTCGAAGTGATAATGGCAAAGAATTTGTAAATAACGCTTTTGGCTTTTTCCTTCAAACTTTAGGAGTCCTTCATCACACCTCTTGTCCCTACACTCCTGAGCAAAATGGGGTCGCTGAACGGAAACACCGTCATCTCATTGAAACGGTTGTTTCTCTTCTATACGACTCTGCTCTCCCGACTACCTTTTGGGCCGAAGCTCTTGCCACAGCAAACTATCTTATAAACCGTATGCCCACCAAAACTCTCTCCAACAAATCTCCCTTTGAAACTCTTTATAATCGTCCTTCTACATATACCCACCTTCGTGCCTTTGGTTGCTTGGTCTATCCATGGCTCCGCCCTTACACTCACCACAAACTTCAACCACGCTCCACTCCTTGTGTCTTCTTAGGATATCACCCCACCACTAAAGGGTATAAATGCTATGAACCCGTGTCTCAAAAAGTTTATGTCTCTCGTCATGTTCGGTTTGTCGAGGATCAGTTTCCATATCCCAAATTGTCATCCCTCCCGTCACCCTCTCCTAGAACCCCTATTTTTCCTCCAAGCCCAGGCTCACATGCTCCTGTCCCACTGACGGTCCAACCCCAGACCCGTCCCACCAGTCACGGATGACAGCCCGACACCCTCCTTATGGACACGCCACAGACGGTCCAACCCCAGAACCGTACCCCAACCCACCCTCGACCGTCACCTACGCCTCTCCAAAACACACAACCGGTTAACCGACCCCCGCCCCAAAACACACACAACATGCAAACCCGAGCCAAATCTGGAATTTTCAAACCTAAAGCCTATACCATTACCACCCTTGATACTACCCCACCTACCACTGAGCCTAGCACTTACCGCCAAGCCTCTGGTAATAGTTTTTGGTGTCAGGCTATGGATGAGGAGTTTATTGCTTTGAATGAGAAACGTACATGGGACTTGGTTCCACCACCCAAGAACCGCACTCCGATTGGTTGCAAATGGGTGTATCGCATTAAACAGAATGCTGATGGATCTGTTTCAAGGTATAAGGCTCGTCTTGTCGCAAAAGGTTATCATCAGGAGTATGACATTGATTACAAGGAGACATTCAGTCCTGTGGTCAAGCAACAAACAGTGCGCCTGGTCCTCTCTTTAGCACTCAACCGTGATTGGCCTCTTCATCAACTAGATGTTAGCAATGCCTTTCTTCACGGTACAGTGGACAAGGAAATTTATATGGAGCAGCCCCCGGGGTACATAAATCCCACTCATCCTCACTATGTTTGCAAGCTCCGCAAATCACTATATGGTCTCAAACAGGCACCCCGTGCATGGTACACACGCCTCTCCTCTTTTTTGCAGGGCCTTGGATTCAAGTGCTGCATTCATGATACCAGCTTGTTCACCAGACACTGCTCTCGTGGGACTATTGTTGTCCTTGTCTATGTTGATGATATTGTTCTCACTGGCAGCTCTTCTACTCTCATCTCAGAAGTTACTCAGGCCATGCACCGTGACTTCAAGCTCAAAGAACTTGGACCTCTTCATTACTTCCTTGGCATTGAGGTTCAGCGCACGCAAGATTCTATACTTCTCCATCAATCCAAANGTGTCTCAGACTATGCACAACCCCACTGAGCAGGACTATCATGCCTTGCAACGCGTTCTGCGCTATCTCAAAGGCACTTTGAATCATGGTCTTCTTTTTCGCAAGGGGGGATTCGACCTATCTGTCTACTCTGACTCTGACTGGCCAATGATAAAGATGATCGCAAGTCTACCACGGGCTACATACTCCTACTCGGTCCTAATATCATCTCTTGGTGCACGAAAAAGCAGACTCGTGTTTCTAGATCATCTACTGAAGCTGAATATCGAGCTATGGTTGCAGGGGTTGCAAAAGCTATGTGGCTTCGATATATCATTGATGCATTGGGTATTCCTCCGTCCAAACCGAAGTTATACTGTGACAATGAGTCGACTATCTGTGTCACCAAAAATCCGGTTCTTCATGATCGCATGAAGCATGTGGGCACAGACTGTCACTTTGTACGAGATGAGGTTATGGCAGGCACTATGACTCCACATCATGTTTCCTCCTCAGAGCAGCTAGCAGACATTCTTACCAAACCGCTTCCGCTAGTTCCTTTTGAGTACTTATGTTCCAAGCTGCCCTCGTCTCCGTTGATCAGCTTGCGGGGGGATATTGGGAAGTATAATTAAATTAGGATACTTCTTTCCTTTCCTACTAGGATTGTTCTTTCCTTTCCCACTTGTACTTTGATTACTCTTGTATTCCCTATATATAGGGTCATATCTCTCAATATTCAATAAGACAAGTTATTATCAAATTGTATCATGAACCATTAAGAAATGCTACTAAGATTTTTATGGATCAAAGAAAATGAAATGTATTCACTAGTGAGGGTAGCGTTTCTGGAATAAGTTAGGATGAAATAAAGTTGCTAAGGACCACAAAGAATGAGGAGATGATACCAAATTTTCATTGCATCGCTCATAAAAAATGAAATAGTGTTGCATAGGTTTGTTATATGTATGTCGTATATATGTCAAATGGGTGTAAATTATTTTCTTTGCATTATTTTGCATCCAATCTTTTCATTTTGTTCATCTCTTAACTAGTACGTAGTATTACATATGACGATTGATACTGGATTGATGGGCCCCAGACGTCAGCTGAGTTGTGTACGGGTTTGGAGGTGTTTATTTGCTTCATAGGGAAATATTCAAAAGATGGAGAAAAGATATACCGCTCTTGTAACTCTTGTCATAACCATTTTATGGCTGATAACATTAATGATCGGATATAAAAGTCCATGTTTATTGCAAAGGGTTTCAATCTAACATATACAAGCAATGAATATGACATGGAGAGCTGGAGAATATTGGTAGCTCATCAACGTCATCCTATAAGGAACAAGTAGAATTTGATACTCCCTCCGTCCACAAATAAACTTTACGTTCACTATTCATAGAGTCAAACTTTATTCACTTTGTTGGCCTATTTTCGTCAACCATTTGATAAAATAATATAGTCATGTCACCTCTAGTTTTGTAGATCTTTTGATATAGTTTTTTAATATGTAATTTTTATTTTTCAATTCTACACCATTTTTCATATAAAATGATTTGAAAATAACTTCAGTCAAACATCGTAACGCGCAATGTAAAGTTTATTTGTGGACGGAGGGAGTATTAAATAACAATATCGAGGATTTAGAGGCGGAAATGGAAGAGAAATTAGAATGTATTCAAGGCTCAAGGCGTTTGCTGTGATTTTCAAGATGTCATCGAGTATGAAAGTTCTCTCATTCCGAAACATACCTTGTGCCATGTATTTATAGGTAAGATTAGGATTGGACATGTTGGTTGATGAAACAACACAACTTTTTGTGTAACATTCAAATGTTTGTGCTTAAGCATTCGAATGTGTATGATGGTTAATAACGAACAATAATTTCTGTAGTTTTGGGTAAAGCGTTGAGTCGTATCACCAAACATTTGAATGCATGGGATCAAACATTCACGTGTATCAATCCATTTTAGGCCAACCTTACATTTGAATGTACATTACTTTGAACCCGGCCTGTTTACGAAAATCCAAAGAATTTAGAATTTTCATAAAAAAATGATGTCCGGACCGACCTTTCAAATTAAAAGAATACCGTCAATGTTTCTAAAAAAAACATGGGCAAACTCTTTTATGCCCTTGTACATACTCATCTTATGAATTTTAATACATGCAATGATTATATGTACTGAACCTTGTGAAAATATATGACTTGCTCGTACAGAAGACATGCAGTAATTGTTTCCTTTGAGCAGTAGTCTGAAGAAACCCCAAAACTTAAACTGAGTATGCAGTTGATAAAACAAGTATGATCATATGTATCAGATATATGTCAAGAAGAATTCGGGGAGGCGATTATATGCTACTTCATCATTAAAAGAACTACTGTGTGAGCTGCAATGCTCCTATTTTCCCCGAGGCTATCTACTTTCTCATGGGTTTTTGCCTTTAGGTTTACAACTGAGGGGTCTGCACCGAGAAGTTGGCACAAATTGGATCTAATAGCTTCCTTGTGAGGGCTTAGCTTCGGCTTCTGCAGGATCAAAGTGGCATCTATATTCCCAAGTTCATAGCCAGCATCATGCATCAGCCGCACCTGATACAAACGACATTGGATGCAAAAGTTAGATCATGTGCCAGCTAGTCATGATGACAACAGAAATGAGAAAAGCTCAATATGAAAATATCGTTGCCATCTTAGCCCCCACCCCACCCAGGTCAATGATAATAACTCGTTAGCCAACATTCCGTAGAAATGGTAATATTGTGCTAAAGAATAACAACAAGGATTTTCCCAAAAATGTTGGTTCAAATCCATGTTGGAACACTCTTCAGATCCTTAAGTATTGTCCTTACTATACGCGTGATGTTACAAAATCTGTCTCCAACATAGGCCTAAAGGATTCCTCATTCTGGGAGGAAGCTACTCGTATATTTTAAATGCTTCCCCGGCAGTTTGGCCCAAATTGGATAAGAAATGAGCACATTAATTATCCTCCATAGTAGTATGTTGGATCACTTTTCTCTCATCACCCATAAGATCACACATGCTGTCAGCAGAGTATCTCGGCTTCTTGCCCAATTCGATTTCCACTCAAGCCTCACCCATGACATTTTCTACGAAGTTGTTATTTGATGAATCACAAGGCATGAGTGAAAAAAGCCAGCCAGAAACTTAAGGAGACTGCATTGGATACCTAAAGCTTAGGACTTTAGGCGACAACTATTCTTGCATTTTATGGAGTACGTTTGGGTTGGTTGGTCTCCAGATGTGCAAACTTTAAACAATGTAGACAACGCTAATACACCCAACAACCACTGTTATAAAAATCCCCACCTAGGGCTCTTCTTGGATGCCTAGGCTTTCTCTTGCACTAATTCCCTTCTGGGTCCGGCATAACCACGATTAATCCCTGAAAATAGGCACTAAACCATCGTCTAACACTTTTTACTACATGAGTAAACACGGCAGCATCACAAAGTCACAAACATCTTAGCAAGTTGTTAAAAGTCCCAAGTCCTAACTAATACACCATTCAATTCGCCCCAAAACAAGAGTCATGTTTGATTAAGTCTTTTTATTTTTAGTCAACTTAATCAAGATAACAAGCGTTTTGCAAACAGAAATCATAGATGAAAAGGGACGGTTCCCTTGATATTGCTAAGCAATGTCATTGGATGACCCAGTGTCCGTTCCTAAAATTGATAGTTCTTGCCCCTAACCCTCAATAAACCCACATCCCGTTCTGAACTCACCCTCACCCTCATCTAGCTGTTAGGATTCACCTCCTACCTTAACTCTGGCAGTAATGGTTTATCCACAAAGCACATTCATCTCCTTCATTAATCAAATAAGCAATAGAGTTGAAATCTTACAGCTTCTTTGATGAAAAGCGATGAAGGGGCGCCTTTCCATTTAGGATCGGTGTCTGGAAAAATCTGGCCGATGTCGGGAAGCCCCAAAGCACCCAAAATTGCATCAACTACACAATGAAGCAGCACGTCCCCTGCCAATAAATCCGGCCAAGAAATTTACAAACACTCTTAACCAATTACGAATTAATCTCGTCTACAAACAGATTCAAGATATTCACCGTCTGAGTGAGCTTCGCAGCCTCGATCGTGAGGAATGTTTACACCGCCGATGATAAGCGGATATCCGGGCTCCAAACGGTGGAGATCGAATCCGTGCCCGACTCTGAAGGGTAGCGTCTTCGACGGGGCGGCGGCGGGGATCCGAGGTTCGGCTTCCACTGAGCGGGAGGTTACGGAGGCGGCCACCACTGCAGGCGAGGTCTTCCGAGACACCGCGAGCGACGGCGCGTGCGGGTATGATGAAATCAACTGCCAGGAGGTGCAGGATCCAACGCCGAGAGTGCTCTGTCGCGTTGCTGGTACAGTCGTTCTGGAGACCAGAGCCGCGGAGGAAAACGCCGACGCCGCCATGGATATCGGCGTATTTTTCTGTCTGAGAAAAAAGGCTTCGACTGGGCGTATTTTTCGCGTATTTGTCATTTTGGAACTTTCAGAAGACACGTGGCAGAATATCCGAAACAAGTTAGCTCAATTGGGCCTTCACTCTAGTCCAGAAGTCGTCAGGTTAAAAGCCCAAGATTGGGCCAATCTCAGGTACGAATCCGCAGCGCCGTGGCGATATCTTCCCTTCGATCGGCGAAGGTTTTATTAGGGTTTTCTTCTTCAGATGTTCTTCCCCAAATTTCTCTCCACATCCTCTTCTTCTCCTCTCTCTTTTCATTTCTGTTAATCCAGGTTTTTGGATCGTCATCAACCATGGCTGCTGCCGAAGCTCCCCTTAATTATGTTGGCGTTGCTAGAAATTCCGCCGCTTTCCGCCTCATGAAACAAATGGTTGGCTCTCTCTCAATCTTTCTCTTACTCACACACAGTCGCTCCCGATGCATAAACAACTATTTAGATACATAGATATCATGAATTCTACTAAGCGGATTAAAGGTTTATATTTTCCGTTTGGTCGGAGTCATTTCAATTAGAGCTTTGCTATTCTGCTTTTGTTTTTGTGCATAAAGAAAGTTGAGTTTTGTTACATATAATTTGATGAACATTATCTTTAGCTAAAGTTTTTGTTTTTCTTTCATTTTTGTTTCCCCGTCCGCATTTGAGCTTTACACTGTTTTGATCTGATGCTGAAGTATGCATTTGAGTAGCTTATATGTATGGGCTATGGAAGACACTCAAACAGATTGAACTCTCAGAAATTTTAATGGCAGCGGAATAAGTGTTACTCTTTGGCTCCTCAAGTGACAATAACTTGATTGAAAAGCGTTAAACTGAATTAATGCTAGATAATATTGTTTTAGTTGATAACCGAGAAGTGTTTAACTGAACTAAGAGGTATACTGAAATTAAGTTGAGCACGCCCTTAAATATTACGGAGTAGTTAATTATATTTTTCCCTAATTTGGTGGGATTCAAATGGGTTGTTGTTTTCCCTCATTATTTTCATGATTGAGCTTATGGTTACATGGCTACTTAGCTAATGTGGTAGCATACCAAGTATGTCTAACTTGCCGAAGTGCAAATCATAGGGATGGGAAGAAGGAGAAGGATTAGGAAAAGACAAGCAAGGTATCAAAGGACATGTCAGGGTTAAGAACAAACAAGATACTGCAGGTTCTATTGTTGTCTTTCTTGCTGTGTGCTTTTTCACTTTACTGGGCTAAGAACAAGCTACTCCTGCCTCTTAACTTTAACTTGAATAGTACTGTAAATTTTGCCATGTGTACTTATTGTTTTTGACTGTATACATTGTTGATACATGGTCTAGGTATTGGAACCGAACAACCAAACAATTGGGCATTTGATACAACTCAGTTTGATAGCATCCTTAAAAGGCTTAAAGTGGTATGTTGTCATTTGTGGTATTTAATCATTCATTTCTGAAGTCTTTTCCCATTTCTTCTCTTCCTATGTAAATAATGTCTTGTGATCTATTTGACAGCAAACCACTGCTATCAAGAGTGATGAAGGTACATCAAAGATTAAAAATCTTATCTGTTATCTTCAAATCGTAGAGCATTATTCTTAACATGGCTCTGTTTCCTTATGACAGTAAATGATAATGATAAAATACACGAGGAAAAAGGGACAGAGAATACTCAAAACAATAAAGAAATAGTTAGTAAAGTCACTCGTCCACAAGGAAGGTCAATCTAATTACTTCATGGTCTTCTGTGTTTGCAAAATGTTTGAAATGCATATACATGTTTTGATGCTCATAGTTTTGTTGTTCTGTGTTCCAGATATAAGAAGAGAGAAAGGGGGAAGCTTGTCGATTCCTACTCTAGTTATGATCTTGAAGGAATTCTTGTGAGTCATGCTTATGTTTCCTTTTCTGTTCAATTCTTATTTTATATAAATATGTAGTGTTTTTTAATTACATTAATGTTTGCAATCTTAGTGTTTTTGCTTCTTAGACTTTTATTTTTTGCAGGTCAAAAAGACAAAGTCTACACAGGCTGATGATGTCCAGAATGTGTCAGAGATACTGCATGCATCTGAAACCCTAGTTTCAAGTGCTGAAGGTAACTTTTAAAGCATGCTTTCAGCACCAAACAGCTAACTCCCTTCACCGTGTTATAAAATCTTCCTTCAACAACCAACCGAACATAATCCCACCTCTGTTTTGGTTGAGGTACCCAACTGTCATAATCTTACCCTTGTGAAAAAAAGTGCAAGACTGTTTATGTTACATCCTTGATGCATTCTTGCGTTTAATATCCAAAACTTCGTACAGAGTAAGAAAAAGAAGAGTAAAATGTGTCATTTTTATATAGTTATTTATCTGAAACAATAAAAATTCTAAAAAATGGACCTTTTGGCTCCATTGGCAATGGACACATACTAACGGTTAACAACTTGTTTCCCTAAATTTTTTTGAAGCCTATTTTTCCAACTTGTTAATCTTTAGTATGCATCCATTGACAATGGTGTCAAATTTATATATACCCAAATATAGAGCTGTTCATGTTCAGGTCCGGGGGAAAAAAACCTATCGAACTAGACAGTGAGGTCCAGGGGTCAATCTTCGATCAGATCATTTTAGTTTTCGGGTTTGGTGTGGTCCAGGTTAAACCTACTTCTCAATCAGTTTGGACTGAAGGATAAAAAACTTTTGCTTTCCAACATTCAATCGGCCTCCCATGGTCCAACTTAAATTTATATTATCTGTCTGACATTAGCCTTAAGACCCTCAGACTCTGTTGCATGTGTTTTTTCTTCTTCGCACAAATGCCTACCAGTTTTACTAGCACAGACACAAGAGCCATCGCCGACTGCCCTTGCAATTAGCTAGGGTTTTGATTCAATTACTACATATGACAACGCCCACCAGCAATGAAGCTGATTAAAGTTCTAATGATACTGAAATGAAAAAATGAAAATTAAGAAATTGATTGTTTTGGATGTTCCTACTTAATAGAGTTCTACTCTCAATATTTATGACGACTTTGCCTTTGAGAGATGCTTTTTGTCATGTAGAGAATTGTGACCAGATTTTTAAGTTAAATTCTTCAGAAAATGATTGGAGTAGTTTCCGATATTGTTTAAAAAAGTTATGAAGCCACATGTCATTTCAGTGGCACACATTCTTCCACAACTATTTTAATCCTGAGGTATGTAAAGTTTGTCTTAAGTTAAGGCAATGGGGAACATGATGGGTTATTATTCCGTTAAGAAGATGGCTCTTCTAATGACAGTTTATTTTGGCTGTTCTAATGATAAATTATTATGAAAGATAAACATATGAACATGTTGTGTCGAGGTTGTTTCAGAAACGGCTCATATAGCCACAGAGGTTTAGGTGAAGATTTATGAGGCGCATGTTTCTCAGTTTTGTAAACATAGAAATGAAAGGTTCATGAACGTCACTGAAGTGTAGAGAATGTTTTTCAACAAAAGAATTTCAACTAAAGAACTGCAAAAGACACTGAGAATGTTTTTCAACAAAAGAATTGAAAAAGGCTATTTTCAAGAAATTTACACTTTTTACAGCAGTGTTCTGAAAAGTGCTAAGCGGCAGACTAAAACCTTGTGCCTAGCCGTGCTTAGTAGTTAGTAGGTGGTTAGTCGATGTCTAGGCAGAAGGATACATCATAGGCAGTTAGAGCATATGGGGTAAAATATACCAAATATTTGACAAGAATCTTCATTAATATGTGATTACATTCTATATTGGATAGATAAAGAGCATGGTGTCCCACCAGATTGGTGGGGTCATAAATTTGGTTTTGTTGTGGGGGGTTTTCTTGGAGCCCAGACAAAGCAAAAGAAGTCATCTGTTGAAGATCAGCAAGGTTCCAGTAGGAGAACTACATTCTGTGAGGATGATCAAGAAAATCTCTACAATCGTGTTCAAGTATGTGCTCGGATTTATCTTCTTCAGTTTTTTGCCATACCACGTAAAATAGCATCACTCTCTCAATGTGACCAAAATATATTCTTCCCTGGCCAATTATGTTTACTCTTGACTGGGGCCTATACTTTTGTGCCCAATTATTGTGTGATCATGGAACTCTATTTGGAGTACGTATGATGTGTCCACATGAATAAGAGATGACATATAGCCTTGACTTGTGTAATGGCAGGATAAAGCTACTTCTGGAAAACAAGGTTTGGGCATAAAGGACAAGCCAAAGAAGGTTGCCGGTTGTTTCTTTCAGGGGAAAAAGACATCTTTTGATGAAAGTGATGTGGATGATTCCTCTGATTCGAACCCACCAATTCAAGCAAAAAATGACAAAATTTCCTACATCTGTGCTGAACCAAAAATGAAACTAAAAAAATTGTGCAAGCGCCTCCTTAAAAAGGTACATCTGTGATCAATTTCTTACGTTTCTTTAAACATAAAAGTTTGTGAATTGCCCTTTGACATTGATTCTGAAAACTTATCTCCTATGACATCCGGCCTGTGACAGGAACCCGGCAACTCTTTGAAACTTAAGCAGCTCAAAGTTCTTATTGATGAGCATTCGTCTGGGGTGTTTCACAACATGTCTAAGAAAGATTCTATAACTTATTTAAAGCGCAAGGTAAGACTTTGCAAACCATTTTCTTCGATATTATTAGACATTTTTGCAACCCTGTGAAAACAACATTTATCAGCACTTTCTGTTCTAATCCGACACGCTTTTTCTTGTTTGTCCAGCTTGAAGGCAGTGATACGTTCTGCTTGGATGGGAAACAAGTCTCTCTAACTTTAAGGAGCGGCTGAAAACATGTTTTTCTTTTTTGCAGATTGCGGCAACACATTGTACATTGTTTCTTGTTGAGGCCTGGCTTGGGGGTGATGCACCATTTGCTGCCATAGTATTTTCAGTTTGCTGCTTTTTAATTATATATACATGTTTCCGAGGGGTTAAGGATAAGGTTTGTAAAATGTTTTTGTTCAGATTAATGTTTGTTTTGTAATGCCTAGCAAGGAACTTTGAAGCTCTTCCAATTTCATCACTCTGGATTCATATAAAGTGGTGTTTTTGGTAATAAATAGCTTTCCTTTGTTTTTAACGAAGCATTCTTTGTTTGCACTGATATTATCACGGTGAGGATTTCATCTCTTGTCTTCCATTGGATTTCCAAGTATGATAAAGTAGGTGTTTTTTAAAACATATATAGTAGGTGTTTTATGTGTTTATAAACTGATCAAAGTTTTTCGGAGTATAAGTTATTTTTAACTTATAAGTTAGTTGGTGTGTTCCTAAGTGTTTATAAGCTGGCATACAAGTTTATAAGTAAAACAATTAGTAGTTTTACTTTTTTAATCGGTTTTGAGTTTTGACCTACTCCTTTCGTCTTAATTTAAATCGTCTGTTTTGACTTTTGAGCATATTTAATGAAAATAAAAAATAAAATTGATTTTTTGAAATTATCATTAATTTTTAAAAGGAGGTAACAATGAATGAGAAATAAAGTGCAGAAGAGAGACTTATTTTAGAGGTAATTTAGGTATTTTACTCATAAAAATTTACGGTAATAACTAATAGGTAATTTATTTTGGGACGGAGAAAAAAGGTAAACAGACAATTAAAAGTGGGATAGAGGGAGTCATTTTTGAAATTGTTCTTATTTTTTACTCTATTAATATTTTAATAAATAGCTTATAAGTTAAAAATTATTTTATATTGAATGTCCACGTTACCATAGTCTTCCTACTAGGAAGCAGGAATAGCCTTTTGTGGGGCTGGCTAGAGTAAAAAAATTACTCTCCAAAGTTTTTTAAAAAAGCGATTATGCATTGCATAGTTGGCAAGGGAAGGGAAGCCCAAAGTTTACTAGCTGACTTCGTTTTTCGACGACTGCGCTTGTAGATAACTATGATAAGCATACGGTTTTTCACAGTATCAGGTGCAGATTCATTTTTATCACCAATATGTGACAAAATTATAAATTATTTTTTCTCAGATGATTATCCAGATGGTTTTTAGGAACCCCAAGGATTAAATTTATCTTTTTTTGTTATAAGATAGGTGGGCCAAATCAAACTATGATACAGAATCCAATATCCATTATTCATTCGTTATATTTTTTTCAAATTATTGTTTTGAGACTGATGAGGAAATGCAATAAAATTACCCCGTAATTCACAACAAATTAATTTTTTTTTATCATGAAAGTATTTTTCAATAATACCATGGGTGTACTCTCGTTCTCAACCTAGCCATCGCAAATAGCACCTCTTGTATTCACCGCCCTGCTTATCTCAAAACGTTAAGCCTACACATGTGAGTGTGGGAAAAAAGCCTTTGGCTCCATTTTATACACAGAATTCAAATTATAAAATTAGAATTAAAAATAAAAATTCCAATTTTGCTGTTTGGTAGCGCAAAAATGTGGATTTGGAATTTATAGTGCCAAAATGAATTGGAATTTAAGAATTTAATTTCATCCAAATCAATTCTATAGAATTTTAACACTTAATTCAATTTTAATTCTATCAATTCTGGACCCTTATATTCATCACATCAATTGCAACAAGATGGAAAAAGTAATAACCTTACAACAACCTAATTTGGTGAATTGAATATATTAAGCCACATTACAAGTGATTTTGAAGACCTATTATTATTGGTGAATTAAATATTTTCAGCCCATCTATAATATAGACTCTCCAAAATCACTTGCCAAACAAAGGGGAAGGGCTGAGTCGGAGCCCATATTTGGGCCCAAGCTATCGAATATTAGACTGCTGCTAGCCGTTTAAGAGCATGCGCAGTGGCAAGGCATTTCCTCGCTCGCTGCGCCACATCAGCTCCCTCGGCACTTTTGCCTCGCGTGGTTTCAGCCTCCCTCCACGCCAAGCGTGTGAGGCGCGAGGCATCCTCATTTTTTTTTTATTTTTTTATTTTTTAGAAGAAATAATTTTTTTTAAAAAAAAGAGTACTCTATATAAAAAAGATAAATGAAATAATTTTTAATAATTAAAATGCATTAAAAAATCATAAAAATTGACAAAACCAATGACTTGCCACTGTACGAGATGCCTCTGCCCACTCACTTGCCACACGCTGACTGGATTGTCTTTTATTGGTTGAAATGTGTCACGTCAACGTGTGACATTCTATTTCGTTACTTGCCATTGCTCGTGCGCTAAGAAGGAAAAGAAAAAAATGGTTAAAGACTATGAGGGAAAGGATGGCATTATATCTACATCCTGTCACTATTTCTTGTTTGCAAACTTTAATTCACACTACACTCCGGTATGACCACTCGTTTTGACTGGCCATGGAAAATATTATTCTAATTGTAACACTTATAATGTTTCATTTGTAAAATTGACAGTTATTTAAATTTTCCTCTTAGTCACCGGTAAACCCCTCTATCTAGTCACGACTTCATCTCATCCCCTATCCACGTCAATTGTAAGATGCAACTTTAGTTCACTTTCAAGTCAAAGTTAATTAAACTTGCACTAGCTACAATTGACGTGGGTATGAGATAGGTTGGAGTCGGCACTAGGTGGGGGTGTTTATCTGGGGAAGGGAGTTAGGGAGTAAGAGCATCTCCAAAGGGGCTTGCTATATGTGACTTGTTATTGCTTTTTTTAGCAAATGAATAGTGGTATAAGAAGCCACTTTTTGCTCCTTTCTCCAACCATGACTTGTTATATTATACTCCCTCCGTCCCATAATGTTTTACTCCCTCCGTCCCAAAATATAGTGCCTGTTTCGGTTTACGATGTTTGACTGAAATTATTTTCAAATCATTTCATATGACAAATAGTATAGAGTTAAAAAAATAAAAATTACACATTAAAATACTACATCAAAAGATCTACAAAACTAGTAGTGAAAATAGTATTTTATTTTATCATATTGCTAACAAAAATAAAAAAAAGAAAGTGAATGAATTTTGACCCTGTGAATAATGAACATGCATTATAATTTGGGACGGAGGGAGTACTTATTTTGATCGTGCAAAACACCATGACTTTTAAAATGATTTTATTTACAAATTAGTAAAGAAATACAAAATAAAAAATTTATATTTAAAAATTACATCGAAAACTCTACAAAACAAGAGCTGACAAGAATATTTTATTTTATCAAATGATCAATGAAAACACGCAAATAAATAAGAATTACCGAGAGACCGTAATAGTAAATGGATAATTCTTTTTTGGGACGAAGGGAGTAACTAACAAATATATTTTGTTCCAGTAACCATAATAGTTCTTGAATTGTATTTATTCCTATAAATGTATGTAAAGGTTATTTATATTCTAACAGTGTGTAATTAAAAAATATAAAATAAAATATTTCTACTTAAAATAAATTAAATCAAACAACTCTTCCTATGGTAAAAATCACATTCACATCGAAAAAACAAAAAAAATGGTCTACGGAGTATTTGTGCAGTATATATCATTGCAAAAGAAATTCACATTAATTTTTGTTTAGCTATATTCTAGCATGCTTGTTATAAATAGCAAGTTGTTTTCATTTTTAAGCAAGCTAGTCAAATTTTGAATGACCCATGGAGCATGAAATTTTGTATATGCTTGTCAAATTATAACATATAGCAAGTCATTTTACTATGATTGAAGATGCTCTAAGAACTATTAATTTTTGAAACGCACTAGCGTACGGTGTACTCTCTAACCACTCAAATAGAGTGGGGCAATAAAACCGAACCCATCAATTGCCATCACACTAATGTTTTTATCTTCTTTCTTTTTTCTTCTTTTATTACTACTACTACTCTAAGGAGTCTAAGGTAGTCGTTGGGTCATGGTTTTAGATCTCGGAAAGATTTGAGTTAGTTCTTTGTTATGATATTAGAAGTTTTTAAAATAATACTCCCTGGTATATATAAGTATTGGCAGAAAATAACTTAATATCATTACGACATAGACAAGAGAATCTTGAACTCCTATTCCAAAAAAAAAAAAACTTTCCCCCACATTTTTCATTGTTTGATAGGAAAGAAATTATTTTTCTAAATAAATATATTTAATGGCTAAGATTTCAAAATTGATATTTAACAAAAAATTTAAAGTATTTTAACAACAAGGCAGGCGGCGTAGAATGGAGGTGTGGGCATGGGGTAGAAGAGGGGAAGGAGTAGGGGCGGATGGCAAGGTTGCCGAGTGACCGAGGATGGAGGGTGGGGGATAAGGGGCAGGTGACTACGGTGCTGATGGGTGGACAGGCGGGGTGGGTGTGGACGACTGGACGGGGGCTAGCGAAGTTCCCGNGGTGGTGGGTGGGAGAAAGAGCTGTGAGCAAATAATAATTTTATTTCGAAAATAAATAGAAAAAAATTTCTATGGAAAATAATTTTCTACCATTTATATTATCAATACACCTATGCAAATAAGGATCTGGGTCGGATCTGGTTCAAACTTGATATAAATTAATAGGTCATTCATTTGGGCGGGTTTGGGCCGACCCGCCCATGTGGGTATAAAAGGTTGTCCATATCTGCTCTTTTTAAAGGGCGGACCGGATAGGCCGACCCTTGTTTGCACAGGTCTAATTATCAAATAGAGGAAAACGAAATCAAAATTTTTCAAAAAAAAATATTTTTCTTTTTATCCAAACATACCCTTGATTTTTACGGTATTTACCATAACTTTAATTTGATTGTTATTTTTCAAAATTTACCTTCACTTCAGTAAAGTTCCCATACACTCTTCTCAAAACCAATTCTTAAAATTTATTTTACTGGGATGGTTGTTAAATGTTAATCTAATGATGCAATTATGTAGTCATCAATGACAACATGTTTGGAGACATGTTTGATCGTTATCACATTTATCCCCTTTTCTTTTCCTTAGATATTTTTCTTTTTCGTTTTTGTATTTTTCAATAAAGTGTGAAGCAAAAAATAAAAAAAGCAAGTTGGTGGGACCCGGAAAGAGAACGCCGGTGTGGAACGTTTCTAGAGTCACTTGACAAACAATATATTTTGGTCGTCTGATTCTTGTGATTCATGAAATGCATTTCTAGAACCCTTTTAGTTTTTCTTATCAAGTTTGAAAACAAATAGTGAAATTTGGACTAAATAAGACTAAAACATAATGACTTTCCTAATATAGTACTT